AGCGTCTCGTTCAGCTTTCACAATACTCTGAGACTCTCTTGTCTCTATTATATGGATAAGGACACTGAGTCTCAGAGAGGTGGAGCGAATTCCTTAAGTAGCAAGTGGGTGGCAAAATTAGGATTTGAACCCAGTGTGTTAGATTGCCCTTTGCTGCCCCTTGTGATGCCGCTTTGTTTACTTGTATTAGTTCTGATCCTTACAACCCTTCAAGGTACTTGTTATTGTTTGTCTGCTTTTACAGATGCAACAACAGGCTCACAAAGGTTAAGTAACTTCCCTAAGGATACCAGGTCATAAATGGAAGGGTAAGAGTTTGAGCTTCAGGCTGCCTGAGTCCAAAGCATATTTTCTTTCCTCTTTGCCTGCTGTCTCATAATTCATAAACCCGGGAATTCCTGTTTATTCTACTATCCCTGCTCTCAAGGAGTATACAGTCTAGTTGAAGAGACAGCGGACACACACAGCAGTCCTGTTACATCAGCACAGAGCAGTGAGCAGGTTTAGGTGTTGTGTGCAAGGAGCGAGAGCCCCCGAGGCCAGAGTGGTCAAAGAAGCTGCTAGAGACTAGACAGGCCTCCAGCAAGTCCTGGTGAACAAAGAGAAAAGGGAGGAACTGGGGCTTGGTGGCTACAGGGGCAGGAAGCCGGAGAAAAGCCAGGAACGGAGGTTGGGCCCAATTGTGAAGGGCCCTAATATCAGGATGAGAAGTTTGTCCTCTATCTTGTTTTTTAGGGGAGGTGAGTGAAGGGTTGGTTTTGGGCTGAGAAGTGACTCAAAAGGGGTTATTTAGAGGAATGTGCCAGTGTATACAAGGGGGAGTTGAAAGGCAGAGGGTCTGGGAGCAGGGAGTCCTTAAGCTGATCGGTGATACAGCCTCGCCTGGGTAGGATGTTGGAAGTAGAGAATGCAGTGTCCTGGCAGGGATGAGGGAGAAGGAAGTATCTGTAAAGAAACTCCAAACTAGGTTCCCCTGTCCCTGCCACTCACTGGCTGTGTGACCTTGGGCAAGTCCCCTAACCTCTCTGGGCCTATTTCTCATTTGTAAACTGAAGAGATTAGAACAGAGGCAGTGAGCAAAGGTACATTTATCAATTATCTGCTATGTGCTGAGACTGTGTATTCTGCTCTTTAGGTTCCTGCCAGCTCTTGGATTGTGCCATCTGCAGAAATAAGGAACCAGTCAGGGATAGGTAACACTCATTATGACACTTTAAAATTTACAAAAAGACCACAACACCAAGCTTTGGGAACTTGGTTTCACATCCCGGTTCTGGCACATACTAGCTGTGTGGCTTTGGACAAGTCATTTAACCTCACTTTAAAATCTCCTTAACTGTAACCTGATGATAATGATAACCTGATCTCTTGGGATGTAATCAGGGTTAAAGAAGATACTGGCCCAGCCGGGCGTGGCTCAGTGGTTGAGCATCAACCTAGGATCCAGGAGATTGAGGTTCGATTCCTGTTCAGGGCACATGCCCAGGTTGCAGGCCCGATCCCCAATGGGGGGCGTGCAGGAGGCAGCCGATCAGTGACTCTCTCTCATCATTGATGTTTCTCTCTCTCTCTCTCTCTCTCTCTATCCCTCTCTCTGAAATCAATAAAAATAAATTTAAAAAAAGGAAAGAAGATACTGTATGCAGAGTACTCAGCATACAGTAGACCCTCAGTGAAGTGTTCTCTTTCCCTTGCCTTTCCCTTCTTTCTATCAGTAATTCTATGAGCCAGTAATTACAGTGACACTTCTTAAGCATTTACTTTGTGCCACTTCACATATATTAACTCACTTAATCCTCACAACAACCTGCTGAGGTGGGTATTATTATCCCCATTTCAATGACTGAGGAAACAGAGGCATAGAGAGGTTAAATGATTTGCCCTGTCACACATCTAGCCAATGGTATCATCAAGAGAAACCCTGCTAGTAAGAGGTAGAACCAGGATTCATGCTCCAGTCTACCTTTTATTCCCATTTTACTGATGAGAAAACTGAGGCTTAGAGAAGTTTGACTTCAACTTCACACACAACCAGTCAGTGGCAAAACCAGATTTCAGAATGTGTCCATTGGCCTCGGTCCCCCTGCCCTTTACCATGTTGCTGGGTTTTAAGGAAGAGATGGATGCTCAGATGCTCAGTTTCATTTCAAGCACACTGGTTGAGATGATGGTGAAACAGCCCACTGGTAGCTGGAAATGAGAGATGCAGATCTGTTTGCTTCACTGATGCCTGCCAGGCGCTTAGAATAGTGCTTGCACGTGGTACATACTCAGTGAGTAATCATTGGAGCTATCTGGAGAGTCGATCCAGTGGAAGTGATGGCTGAGTGCTAGGGATCACGGGCAGCCCTGTGTGACTCGGAAATCTGTTGGGAAGGAGCCACTGCTCTGGGGATTTGGTCCTCTGTACCCTGGGTACCAAGAGGCTCAGTGGGTAGAACTGTGGGCTTCGCATATAGCAGACCTGGGTTCAGATTCCTGTTTTGCCAGCATACCAGCAACATGACCTCAGACCTTTCTTTTTCTTAGCTTTTTACTGAAGTGTAATGGGCCTACAAAAAGTGTACAAATCATAAGTATATGTTAATATAGAATGTAATCAGCATCCAGATCAAGAAACTGTGTGAGCGGTGCCCCAGGAGCGCCCCCCTTGTTCCCCTTTCTGATCACTGTCACCCCTCCAAGGGTAACCTCGATTCTGACTTCTAACACCGTAGGTTACTTTTACCTATTTTTGAAAATTTTGTGTTCTTACATGTGTGATTTCTTCATTTTACACAATGTTGATGAGATTCATTCACATTGCTGTGTGTAGTTGCAGATCATTCTTTCTCGTTGTATTAGAATTCCACTGTGTAAATATACAACATTTTAAAATCCATTCTTCTATTGATGGGCATTTGGGTAGGTCCATCTTTTGGCTTTTAGGAGAATTGTTGTTGTGAACATTCTGTATATGTCTTTTGGTTCACATAAAATCATGCACATTTCTGTTGAGAAGACACCTAGGAGTGGGGTGCATATGTTGAACTTCCATAGTTTGTGCCAAACAGTTTTCCAAAGTGATCATATGAGATTTCTAGTTGCTTTACATTTTTGCCAACACTTGATTTTTCATTTTTTTTCTTTTTAGTCATTCTGGTGCATGTATAGTGGTAGCATATTGTGGTTTTAATTTGCATTTCCCTGATGACTAATGAGTATGAACAGCCTTTCATGTGTTTATTAGTCATTTGGACAGCTGCTTTTGTGAAATGCCTGTTTGAATCTTTTGTCTACATTTGAATTCAGTTGTCTGACTCTTTCTTACTGACTTTATATCACTTCTTTATATATTCTGGATACAAATCCTTTGTCCTTTGTCAGATATTGTAAATATCATCTCCTACACTGAAGGTCACCCCTTCATTCTTTAAATGATATCTTTTTTTTTTTTTTTTTTTTT